TTAATATCTTACGGGTTAAGAGCACGCAATAATTAACCGAGGCCTAGTTCGTTTACTACGATTAGTATAAAACGAACATCCCTCTCTGGGATCCTGTTCAATACATAAATGTACTAGTGCAACTAATCGGTCAAGACAAACCGTACGGTTGACACTAAAACCTTTCCGATGGGTTGTTCAATTCCATCTAGGTTGTGAACCAACGATTCTTGTTTCGCAAGTAACTGATATAGTGATCTTCGGTACGCCCGATGACGACCCACTTATCTACATGCAAAACAACAGAACGTGGAACTTATTTAACCAAACATAATTCTCATTCATCAAGGAATAACAAGTGTAATATCCACTAAAGCAAAGCTTAAGTATATAACACCAACACCCCCAACATGTTCCAACAAGTAGCATAACCGAGCGAAGGTACTTTGATCCATGCGAAGTTGTTCAATGCATGTTTTGTCACTTATTTCTACTAACACTTTCATGTGTTCAATTTGCGAGGGAACATAGTTTGACATACAATAGGATGCATTTCTGAGGCGACGTCTGCTTCTACGAATTTGTCTAGGTTGAACAACCAATTTAATGTAAAGGTATCTCCTCCACGAGCAAAAGTACTATCGCCTCTTCGGAATCTATGTCCATGATTAAAGCTGGTGATCTAAAAAACAATTTGTATTTAGCCATGTAAACGATGAAGGCAAACGCAAACATTTGTTATACAATGTAAGTGTAAATTCAAAGGGATCCAACTATATCAAGTAAAAATAATTCTTCTACTTTTTTAACTATACCAAAATAAAAAAAAAAAAAAAAAAAAAAAAAAAAAAAAAAAAAAAAAAAAAAAACATATAATTGAAAGATTATCTTACCACTGCTATAACTATGCTAAAGCGGATGAAAATGCTTTATGTACAAACAGGACGGACAACAAAACCACTCGGAATCCAACATATGATTACGTGTTGCACAGATAGTAGTCAACCAAAGAACTTTACAACCACGTGATAAACCTATATACAAATTTCCATAGTACCATACAAAGAACAGTGACAACAGTAAAAACAACTCATCTTATCTTCCAACAAACCACAACACAATATCTTTTCCTCCAAAAAAATACAACATATAAAGAACTGACTTTAAGCTGCAAATTTACCAAAATCGTATGCCAATTACACGTACAACGGTTTGGAAAAACAAAAGCAGATCGGGGTAATATTTGTACTTTGAACTAGTCTTTTTTTCTTTCATTTACATGTGTCGAACATGATACAAGTAATCACTTTCTCCTTGCGTCACAAAGCAACGGACTAAACACGCTCAACTACCTGCACCCCAAGAAATTGAGAAATTAGGGTTTTACGGAACAACCTATTCTCAATAATAGGGGAAAAGATTAGGCATGCAAAACTAAATGACCCGTGTTCGTGTTGTAAAATGTATTGTAGAAACACACGTATCGTGAAGTCGCAAATGGAAGCGTCATTTTTTCGACACTTCAACAACTTGCCACACATCTACTTCTTGAATGTTTTGGGGCTAAAGAGACGATGGGATTTATCCCTGACAGGCTATAATTGTTAGGCATGTTGAGGTTGCTTTTGTCTAAAATGTCAAAATTCGAAGTCAAAAATGACTTTTACTTGTACATGTAATGTTCAGATGGAAAATATCACATGGCCGAAAGGGGATTAATTAATACCCCATTTGCAAGATTATTCAATTTTAATCTCGGGCCCTGCCTAATCATACAGGCCACAAACTTGGAAAACAAACGTCGGACAAGCCTTGGACTAGGAGCTTAATCCTATCTAGTCTTCCTTTTCAAACATGGCCTTTTTGGTTGGCTAGTTGGTTCAGAGCTGCAAAAATGAAACTTTATAGAATTTTCCATTGAGGTGTAGGAGTCGGGTAGATGATTTAAGCCTCAAACATTTTGCACGCATGACGCATCCCTATATTTGGTTATCTGAAATACAACAACATAGCTTTTTGGTTACCTAAATGATTAATGAAATTTGGCCGGCCCACAAACTTATAGTAACTTCATAAACCACGAAAAAAAAATTTAATAATACAAAAGAAAACCTTGCCATTACATGCAATTTGCATCTACGGAGAATGCAGTTCATATTTTGAATATACAGAAATGCTATGGAGTCATAGATGGTTCCCTCATGGAGCCATCCATAATTTTATGTATTGACATGTGTTCAATGTGTATTTATTGCACGACACGTGTCAATACACCATTTGTGGATAACTATGGATGGTTCCATAAGTCGAGTCATTCGATGGCTCCATAGCAAAACCGTTTGAATATAATTGCACCACCAAATTAAGTTTCACAAGCCAACACACATTGGATGATTGCTGCTTCACGAATATCATCTAAAGAAATTACTATATCACTCGGCAGATCGATCATACTGACGGATGCTTAATATATAACCTACAAATATTAAATATAATATTTCTTTTTGTACAATGGTCAAATGAAGCCGATTTCATCTCGGATTTTCAAATCTTTCATACTGAGAATGTGTTAAAAGGATAAAGTAATAACGTTGTTACATGTGAAGGATACACAATGATTAATAATACAAGGTGAATATATATATATATATATATAAAAAAAAGGGATATATATTATGCCCATATACTAGTCAACCTAGGTAAATGCCTGTAGCACTCAGAATGAAATACCCCACCCAAGCACAGGCAAGATTAGCATTGTCAACGGAAGAGACACCGACAAAGTGAACGGTGAAATATGGGGGTATCATTCATATCAAGCTTCTCCAGAGGCACTGGGTTCAGTTGAATTACTGCCAAAGGTCCATAGTTGTTTCAGCTCCCCTCTTATCATACCCAACACAACACAGGTTCCTGAGGTTTTCCAGTCATATGTTTCGCATAAGATAAATCAGAAAAACGTAAAGTATTTTTTGTTACCCAAATGCTGCGAAAGGAATTCATTTCATACCAAGTGTACACGGCACTAGGTAGAGCAGAGCAGGTTGACCATGCCCGTCCATCAAATACAACCCTAAGTAGGTAAATGCCAAGCCTGCAGTGAACAGTATCCCTGTATTAACAACTTACACCACCCTACTCTCTTCAGATGTTTTATCTCTGTTAATTCATATAAACAATAGATGAATATAGGTCAAAGTGCATGCGCATCTTCGTAAAGAGCAATCAATTGATAGATGAGACTGAAAGTGGCACAGATATACTTCAAAAAAGTTGGAGAATACATACAATAGAAACAAACCAAGCAACCCAAAACAAAGCATCTTCCACGAAATAAGAATCTAGTGCACTCATAAAGGTCAAGAAACTATTGTCTTGGTGAAGAATAGAAATGCCATTCTTCATAAGGTCATCTCTGCAAAGGTAGTAAGTAAATTCAACAAAAAGATGAATCAAGTTAACGAGCGCCAAGCTTGGCTATGCTACAAAGTCACCAAAATGGAAAAAAAACTTATTGATTGAAGGGCTAATCGCAAATAAATCCTGACTTCTAGTTAACAAAATTTTCAAGTCAACATATCAGGGTGAATTTCACCCTACGCCGATGGGCACTGCCCCCACGGGGATTACCGTCGGATAGCACACACTTGTGTCCGACGCTTAGAACCTTCCATAGGATCGAACTTGCCTCAGATCAGATAAATACACAAACTCCACTGTTATCCAATTTGAGGCATTAGACATTTTCCAGTGGTAATTCGCCAACATGTGACAAATACAGCCGACTTGTCATTTTCAAATGCTTTAAAAAAAATATAGCATTTATTTAAATAAAGAAAGCCATAAAAACCAGATTAAAGAAATTAAGAGAGAAGAAAAATGTTAACAGGAAAATAAAAAAGAAAAGAAAAAGTTGAAGAAAATGTCAGAGAGGGTGACCGGCAGCCGACAGTCGCCGCCTGCCTCCGAACGCCGGCAATTGATTCTGGTAACGCATACATAAAATCGAAGAAATCACAATTAATGGTCCATGAAATCCTCAAAACCACCACCAACTTTGATGATCAAAGAAATCGCGATTTTGTTCATTACATAAACCCTCAACCAGTGATTGAGGAGGCGAGGCCATGGCATTCATAGAGACGCCTGGCCACCTCAACTAGCTGTAGCGAGGGGCGCGCGCTCAAAAGTTGCTGCACATGTTTCAATCATAATTTACATGTCATATCTCAATTCTTTCCACTGAAACAATAAATTGATTCGTGCGACGTGTCACGCATAAGTTGGAGAAGCAAAAGAATTTTCATGGCTATGAAAAAAAAAAA